TAACTTGAATTTTGCTACAGTGGGCTCTGTTCTTAACTATGTGTCATCTGTAACCCGGAGACTACCTGTATTTAATTTTAGTCCCATTTTTTCACTGTGCTTTTTGACTTTTATTATTAGAATTTGCAAATCCTTTGCATTTTTGGCTATCACAGTAGTGTCCATCAGCATAGTGCAGGTTATTGATATTTCTTCCTCCAATTTTAAAGCCACACTCAACTTTTTCCAATCCTGCTTCCCTAATAATATACTCAGGATATAGGTTGAATAAATAAGGGGAGAGTATGCAGCCTTTTCTTATTCCTTTGCCAACCTGGAGCCACTCTGTTTCACCATGTTCTGTTCATGCTGTGGCTTCTAGACCTGTATATAGATTTTGCATGAGGACAATGAGATGTTCTGGGATTCCCATTTTCCTAAGGACATTCCACAGCCTAACATCATCAACACAATCAAAGGCTTTTCTTTAATCAATGAAGCACACACTGGTTTCTTTTTGGTATTCTTTGGCTTTTTCAATTATTCAGTATGCATCAGTAATAATGTCTTGTGTTCCTTGGTCTTTTCTAAAGACAGTTTGAACATCTGGCATCTCTTTTTCCATGTAGGGCTTTAATCTGTGTTGGATGATCCTCAGCATTATTTTACTAGCATGCAAATTAATTGTGTATCAGGCTTGCACAACTCATAGAGGGGAAAGGGCCAGATCAATACCTTAAAAAATAATTGCAGGCCACAAAAGAAGAACTACCTTGCCAATCAGCTGTTTGGCAGTAGCAGCAATAGAGCTGGCAATGTCCGTGAGGCCTGGAGGTGCACTGCAGCACGTCTTTCGGAGAGGAAGTTGTGCAAAAACCTAGGCGGTGGTGACGGTTGGCAGTGATGGATTGATTATTTTTCAAAGAACACTGGTGGACTGCACAAAGCTGCTTGGCGGGCCGCATGCATCTCATGGACTGTATGTTGTGCAGGCCTGGCATATATACTTTATCATTCTAAAATATGTTATTATATACAGGCCTAGTGTAGATACATACAATATTTTATGCAGGCATACTAGTCATTATTAGGAGCTATGAATTTTAAAAGGACACATAAAAATATAGTACATTTAATGATAATGTTTGTGTTCTTTTTAAAGTATGTTATTGTTTACATACACACATTTTGCTAAGTTTTATAAGTTTCTATCACTCTAAGGACCAATCAATCATTTTATTTACGATTGTCAAAAGTACCTCCAAATATAATTGCAACTTTTTATATTCATTGTCCTAGTTCAGAACTCACCTGCTTGAATAGGAAGTTGTTTTTTCTAGAAACGTATGAATCTTTTTAAAAATGATGAGATCAGTTAACTGCTAGAGATGTGCTTCCCAAAATGGAACCTTAGTTCATATGATGTGGCCTTCTAATATAACGTTTTCCTTTTAAACAGAAGCTATTTCATGTGTTAATTGTGTTCTGCAAAATTCTTGGTAGGCATGCTCTTTTGAATTACGTTCCAATGGTTTGGAAACTAGCAGAATAATGTAAATGGGTATTCGTGCTTTTATGATTGTGAAAAGTAAATACTTTATAGATGTTAGGAAGTTATCTTTCTTTCCATATTTTATTAAATAATTTACCACCAGCAATACTGATTAGAAGGATATTTAAAACTGGATTCCATATGTTACAAATTGAATTTGAATTTTCTTTCTTATATGTTAATAATTTAAAGTACAACATGACATTTAAATATACGTACAGCCTCTAAAATTTGGCTGTTGTTTGTCCGTTTAATCAGAACTGAAATATTTTCATATAATGTTTTACTTAAAAAAAATAAAACTAGGCAGGCATTAACTGAACTGGCAGCAAGTTTGGCCCTGAGTAACAAATGTGAAAACAAATCAAATGTGGCTTTTCAATCAATAAAAGTAGCATATACTCTTTTAACTCAGAGTAAAATTGCATTGTATTGTATTGTAAAATTGTATCAGATAGGACACAATGCAACTGCTGTCTATAAGGGATTGATGTTGTCTAGGTCTGCTTTCTCTACAACTAGTGTATCTTCTGGTCAGTGTAAACAGTTTCTGATAAATGCACAGCATAAACTTCACTTGCACATATTGGTTACATTGACAGGTCTACAGTTCCCAGGGTTAGATCTTGCTCCTTTTTCATATATTGGGATAGCAACTTCTAGAGCCCAATCAAAGAGGAATCCCTTTTTAAATAACTGTGTAAGAGGAGTTCTACTACAATAGAGTAGAACTACAATAGTCCACTATTCTCTAAAGATTTCCACACTGTAAAATGTTTAAAATAAGAGGCAGGAAATCTGTTTTTTTTTTTAATTAAAGAAATACATGGTTTCATGTAAAATCACTTATGGCCATTACAGAATTTTTTTTTAATGTTATGCTCCCTGCAAAAGAAAAATAAAACTTTAGAAAGCACAAAATCCACAACATCAATCCACTCCAAAAGAGAAAAACAGGTAACTAACAAAAACATTGTATTACATATACAAAAAGTCACTCAGTCCAATTTTAAAGCACGTAATTAATCTTTGACCACATGAAATAATACAGTATTAGTCAATCCTTCCATTATACCACTAGAGAGCTGCATCAGAGACCAAAAGTGAACAAGTTTCAGTGATCCAAGATTGAAATCCTAGGGGTATGCTGCCTTTCCAAAAATATAGTCAACTTTTTTGTTGTATCCCATATTTGGTAAATCCATAATTCTTCATACAATGAAACTGTTTGATATATAGTTTAAAACTACAGTCATGTTTTTAAATAATACTGCTCTTTGTAATGCCATACCAATTTATAGATATTGAACCAGAACAGAGGAAAGGTGAGATATGCCCATATCATAAGTAACTCTTGTTCATTTCATACTTCCAGCATAATGTGGTTGACAGCCAACTCTTTTCAACAACAAGAACAAAACAGTATTTTAGGTTTTCAGGATATATGGGAGAATGTTTCAAAAGGGACCGACTCACTATTAATTAATTAATTAATTTTTATTTATTATTAAATCTGTACGCCGTTCATCTTCTCCAATGGGAGACTCTGGGCGGCTACCATTATTTCTATCAAACCAAAGGGAATCTTTTCATTGAAAACACTAAGTAACTTTTTATCTTATGCTTTAAGAAACATATGGCAACTAAAACTTCTATTGGATTCTGTATCTTCCAGAAAGGTATCATTAGATGTATCACAGTAGTGACAGCTACACAGTATAAGAAACAAAGGCAATATTCATATGTAACAGCAAATCAAACTTTTTTTTTTTTTTGGTCAGTTTTGCACATATAATCATAGCTTTGGGGACAGTTCCTGGCTTGTTTTCTCAATTTCCTTTTGTCGATACTCAGAAGAAATGGACAAGGGGAAAAACAAGCCAAGGTTCTTCTTTCAGAAAAAAATTGATCAGCCTTAGTTAAAACAAACCAGGACTTGTAAACCAAAAATCCATATTCTAGTGTGTTCCCCAAATTAGCCAAATTTTCATTTTTGGGATGGGTTTCCATATTACACTTCCATGAGGAGTTCTCAACTGTGTGTTGGAAACCCCAAGGGAGTTGTGTGAAAAGCAGGGGGAGAAAGATACCATTTTTAAAAACTTGATCAGGCTGGTGTGGGTAAAGTAGGAACACTGTCAACATTTGCTCTAGTCTTGGTTCCTCATTTTGCCTTTGTAAACCCACAAATGTAAAGGTTGAGAAACCGGGTTATATAGATTTAAATGGATATATTATTTCTAACACCAATTAAATTATTAATTCTATTAATGGGGACCCACACTTTCAGTTATTATTTAAAGAGTTTGTGGTACCACAATGTTTGAGAACTGCTACACTTAACCCAAAATAAGTTTCATTATAGGTAAACTCAGCCACTTAGGAAGAAGTAAAATATGTCTATCAAACTATTGTAAAATAGGATTGCAGGTACTATAGTTTAAATTTAAAAAGCATACAAAACACGAGAACATGTTTGCTTTGAATTAGCCCTCCCCCACCAATACAGCAGCTTACCTGGTCAGAAATCAATTATATTTGGCCTATTTGTTCTACACAAAAGTCATAGAGGAAAAAAAAGACTTAAACTTACTTTTTCCCCTTCAATTTAGCAATATGTCTAGTTAGTTTCCGAATTGTTAGAACTCTGATTTTCTTCACTTCTTTTCTCATTTTGACAACCTGTGGAAGGGAGGGGGAGGAGGAAGAGGTGTATTATCATCAATATATTTTATACTGAAATACTAGTTTATCACTCCCTAACTTATAAAAATTTTCAGTTAATTTTCTTATTGAAATCAAAACACTTCCCAAAATAGACAGCCAATTAAGAAATACAGGTAGTCCTCAGTTAACGATGATAATTGGGACCGGAATTTCCATCGCTAAGCGATGTGGTCGTAAAGTGCAACATCATGTAACTACATCATGTGACTGTAATCGCGGCAGTCCCTGTTGCCATTGTTAACCAAATCCTACCACTCGTTAGGTGAGGACTCACCCTGATCCAAGCCATTTCTAGCTTGGTCCCTCCTTGTGACGGAATGGAATTATGAAGGCCAGGCTCAGAGAGATAAGCGTTTTCTTAATTCACCAAAAGAGCATGGGAACTAAGAAAACGCTTATCTCCCTGAGCCTGGCCTTCATAATTCCATTCCATCACACTCCTAGATCCAAGCCTTGGTAAGGTGGTAAGGAGTAGGACTGCCTCCTCTTAAACTCCCCCCACCTGCCTATCTCCCCCCGATCTGCCCTTTTGGCCATCCACATAGCCAAAGCCCTGCCTGCCACCTCACCTGCTACGCCACAATCCACTACTGTACCAGCCAGGGCCTTCTTCTGCACCGCCTCCTTTTGCACCAATGCAGCCAGAGCTTCTCTTGCCACCCATCCAGGGCCTCTGTTTGCACCAGCCAGGGCCTTCTTTCACATGGCGGGTTTCTTTTGCAGAAGAAGGCCCTGAGCAAGGCACAAATGGAAGCCCTGGCTGGCACGTGAACGGAGGCCCTGGGCGAGGCTGGCTGCACTGGTGCAAAAGAAGACCCCAGCCAGTACAGTAGTAGTTCATGGTGCGGTGGGCAGGGCTGGATGGTGGGGACCACCAGCAGCAGTGGGTAGGTGGGTGGCCAAAAGTCAGTTGTAAATGCGGGGAGCCCCAAGTGGGCCTGAATTTTGTTCACGTGATTGTGGGGGTGCTGCAATGGCCAGAACTTCATGGACCAAACATAAGTCCCTTTGTTTAGTGCTGTCATAGCTCTGAGTGATCGCTGAATGTTAAGTGAGGACTACCTGCCAATCAAAAGATTAAAAGCACACCTGAGATCTGACCAGAAGCAAGCAACAAAAAACGAAAAATATTCTTAAGTTGACATTTTAAAACTCTTAGACTAAACACAGACAACAGGCAAAGACAGCTTATTTGTATTCATTTATGCCCAAAATTACAATAAAAATGCCTGCATTTCTTCTAAGCCTTTTATAGAACAAGACTTCCTTCAAGTCTATCCTTGAAGAGTATCTGGAAGCTACAGCTGGTGCAGAATGCAGCGGCGCGGACAGTTCTCAATGCCCCTAGGAGGGCACATATAAAACTGCTCTTGCATGAGCTGCATTGGTTGCCAGTTTGTTTCCGGGTCCAATTCAAGGTGCTGGTTATCACCTTTAAAGCCCTTTATGGCACAGGACCAGGTTATCTGAGGAACCGTCTCGCCCCGGTTATTTCAGCCCGCCCCACTTGGTCCAGAAGAAGGGGCAGGTTGCAGACCCCACTGGTCAAGGAATTTCGATTGGTGGGGTCTAGACGGAGGGCCTTTTCTGCTGTGGCTCCCGCCCTATGGAACGTCTTGCCTCCCGAGGT